GTTCTTTACTCGATCTCAAGGTAATCGCATTTAGGGGTGTATGATCGGTCAGTTCGGTTCAAATTGAGGACTTAACTGATTATTCGGTTTTACCATTCCCAATAACCGAACCAACCCTAACAAAATTCAGTTCCGTTTGGGTCAGTTGGACCTTGGTGCCACATAAATGATAAGCATTTATCAAGTGTTATTATTAAAACATAAAATGGCCCCAAAACCCAATGGTTTTAATTAATTAACTATTATTAATTAAAAGTTAGAATGACCCCAAAGCCCAATAGTTTTAATTAATTAGCTATTATTAATTAAAAACTACAATAGGCCCAAATCCCTATGCCAATGAGCTATTATTATTAATTGATTAATGAACAATTAATAATTAATAAACAATTCATAATGAGCCTAGGTTTTAATTAATAGGCATAAAGCCTAATGGGGAATTGGCAAATTGTTCATTGGGAAATATAATAATTAATTGGCATAAAGTATTAAATAAAAGATTAATGTTTATTATACTTAACTAAATTACAACATTAATTCGGTTTTCAGTTTTTGGTTCTGTTAGATTGAAAATTTCAATCAAACCAAACCAGAACCGAAAATCAATTTAAAAAAAAATAAAAATGAAAACCGAACCAAAACCAAAAACTGATTTTTTTAAAAAAATAAAACCGAACCAGAACTAAAAACCAATTTCAATCAGCTAAAATATTAGTTTATTCAGTTCAGTTCGTTTCAGTTTTCATTTTATCAACCGAATTTGAACACCTCTAATTGCTTTTGATCGGACAACATAGAAATCACTCCTCAGAGGAAAGGCCAAAACAAAATCAATGAAATAAATATACCTTCATAACCCCAAACTCAACCAAAACTAGGTTATACTTTCTAATCAACACAGGTCCTTTTTGGCAATCAGAAAACCTGCAAGTTTGAATGAATTTCTTTAGCCTGACAAACAAATCTAGAAAAAATCAGGGAGAAATAAAACACACAGCTAAGCCACTTATCCTCTGAAGTCAAATTGGATTATTCTTAGTTGAGGATGGGGATTTGAATGTGACTCTTATGGGTTTTGATAGATCCAATATGTGTTTGGCGTTTATTCATTAAACTTTTGTATTTGATTTGTTTGCAAAACCGAGAAAAGCAATAACTAATCTATTTATTGACACTTAAGGAGCCACTATGCGCCATTAGGCACCACATCAGCAAAACAGTGAATAAATGTCTATTCGTTGGGGGAAGCGTTAAAATAAAGTTTCCCCTAGTTGTAGGCACACACTTAAATCAAGGCTTGCTTCTACAAGTCTCTATGCGTATAGATCCACATAATGGGGGAAATGCTGAAGTGGCGCCTATGTCACAGAGTTTATACAGTAAACCCTTATGCGTTTTGGTGGGGCTTCTTTAATCCGATTAAATTTATTCATTTTCAATGTTTAATGACAAATTGACAGTGCAACATGTGCTTCTTCCTCCACCATCTTCCTCATTCTAGCGGCAAAGAATAGGGCTCTCGAAACTGCAATGCAGCTCACCCACTCACCTCTCTCTCTCTCTCTCTCTCTCCCCTCCTCCTCCTCCACCTCCTCCTCCTCCTTCTTCACTATTAAAGGGCAGTTTGGTCATGAAAATTGCAAACAACTTTGTCAATGATCACTAATTGTGTCGTGCTTTAACAATGGTACAAAAACTCATTAACATGGGGTTCTTTGCATGTTTTGAAAAGTTATGGTGAGTTTAAGAAAAATGCTAAAGTCATATTGAGTTTTAGACAGTTTCCCTTCCTTTTAATCCTTATGTCATCATATTAAATATTAGATAGCCTATAATTTGTACAACTAAAATGTAACAATGTTAATTTGTTAGGGAGCAAATTATAAATTTTCCTTTCATCATCATTTATATAATTTTATTTAGTTTCTCACATGAATTAAGACATGCCTAATGTGAAGATTCTTAGGCCCTGTTTGGTTCATTGGAATAGGGGTCTGAAATTGGAAACGGAATGGGTTATTCTGATTCCAAATGTTTGGTTGGGTAGAATCAGAATCCCATTCCCATTCCTGCTGGAATAATGGCATTCCCCCGTTTGAGGGAATGGCCATTCCCTGCTCCTCCTTCCCTTGGGAGTGAAATCCTGTTCCTGCTGATTTCAATTTGCATTCTCATTCCTGTCTTAACAAAACAAACTATGGGAATGGACAATTCTGATTACAATTCCTAAGGATTTCGATTTTGATTTCGACTACAACCAAATAGATCCTTAATTCAACACTTACTAAAAAAATTATTATAATTTTCTGAAAAAAAAAATCTTATAGTCTTGTCTTCGACAAGAAATGTTAATGTCTAGTTGCGTTGTCTTTGATAAGAAATGAATCTGACTAATTAAATTATTTTTTGGCAGTATACAGTAATACTCTCAGTGTTGTTAATTGATGCCAGCTGTGAATTAATGCCAATTCATGGACGAGGGTAGGTGCCAGCTCTGAATTGATGCCAATTCCACGACGAGAACGAGTGCATAGAGTGTGGGTATCCGTCGAACAAATCTATACTTTTCCTTAATCTGCATTGAACAAATCTATACTTTTCCGAAAATCTTGTCCTTTACAAGAAAGGAATGTGACTAATTAATTATTTTTGGCAGCATACAAATATGACAGATCTAATGACCTTTTACCACAAGCGCAAATGAGAGTGGGGTAGTGAAGAATAGACTCACCCCCCATCATTCACATTGCGCCTCTATTACGTGTGTAGGTAAAGCTGATACTTTTTTTAGAGATTCCGGCATCAAAGATTACCTAACCTCTTCACTACCACATCCGTACCACTTCTGCAATTTAATTTATGGGAAAATTCTCAATTAGTATTCTGTACTTTGAGTCTAGTATAATTTCTGTATTCGAATTTTAAAATGCGATAATTCAGTATTCGAACTTCTAAAATAATGTCAATCTAATATTTATTGTTAACTACCTGTTAACCAACTATTAAGTGATATTTGAAAAAGACACAAATACCCTTTGAGTATTAACTAATTTTCTTTATAAATCATCTAAACGTTGAAAAAATTAAGTCATAAATCCTTGTTTTCTTCTATTCAACATAATTGGGGTCATGCCTCAGTGGGCATTTTGATGACGTTAACTTTCTTTATGGTTTTTAAAAATGAACCGGTGACTAAACCGGTCAGGGGTCCGGTTTCCGGTTTGAACGGTCTGACCGTTTGACCCGAATGACATACCCATTTTGACGAAAAAAATAAAAAAAATTGAAAAACGGTCAAAACCGTTCAAATGGTTCGAACGATTAACTGGCCAGTTCAGCGGTTTGCTGACCAAAATATACGGTTTTGGGGGAAAAAGCGATTTTGGAGGAAAATGGAACCAGGTGACCGATTCCCAGTTTTTCCGATCCGACCATCCAGTCCGGTCTGGTTTTGAAAATAATGACTTTCTTGAATAAAAGAGACAAGGATTTAGGACTGTTAATTTTTTTATCAATGTTTAGATTATTTATACAAAAAATTAGATGAAACTCGAAGGATATTTGTATCTTTTTCAAATGCTACTTAATGACTGATTAACAGCTAGTTAATAATAGTAGGTAGTGGGTTAACACGTTTTAAAAGTTTGCGTAGTGAATTATGGCATTTTAAAAGTTAAGGACTAAAATGACCCTACACCCGAATTAGAGGGCACAAATTGGAAAATTTCCCTTAATTTAATGGTTGTAATTGAAGTTTGGACCATTTTCAAAGCTTTTGTGCTTTTCAATTCATAAATCAATCACTTTAACGAATCTTTCGAAACAACAATAAATTAGTAATAAAACAATAAAAGAAGGGTAATAAAGTAATATTCTAGTTTCGAATGAATAGTACATATACCTTTCTCGGCCTTTTGTATCATTTGTAATTTCAAATGAATCGAATAACAATGAATTGGATTCCGGTTTTCGTCTGAATTAGACATTAAAAGTAGTCGATTTTGACTCAAATTCTAAGAGATTCCGATTTTGATTCGAACGATTCTTACCGCGAACAAAACGGAACCTCTGTGATTGATGAATCAATCAATACTCAGTAGACTCCAATTGTAGATGGGACACACCGATACATTGGAATCTCCTGCAAAGCGACTGCAATAAAGCTCCTTCGTGATTCCATGTGCACTCCGGCTTTGCGAAACTAATTGAGCGTTAGCGTTCAATCCGTTGCTTGTTGTTAATGCGTTAATCGAGCGGCACCGCTGAAAGCTCTGATAGCATGGTTTTTAAAATCGGATCGATTGAACGATCAGATTAGAAAAATCAAGACCGGTTATGTTTTTCTTTAAAACTGTTGATTTTGGTTAGCAAATCATTGAACCAATCGGTTAATTATTCGAACTGTTTTTGATTATTTTTCAAATTTTTATTTCTTTTTTAATTTTTTATCGAAATGAGCCGACCGTTCGGGTTGAATGGTCGGATCGTTTGAACCAGTAATCGGACCCTTGACTGATTCGGTTTTAAAAACCATGTCCGATAGCAAGTTTAGGCGCTCGTTAGTGCGCCACAACGCACTTTGCCATAAAATAGCTTCTTTTCTTACCAAAAATAGTTTTTTAACTTGTCCCACATTGGAAAATTACAAGTTTTATTTTGGATTTTTTAATAGGAGCTGATTTACACTCCTTAGATAAAGAAATGAGAGTATGGAGGATTGATATCTGCAACGTGCACGCACATGCATGCGGTGCAATGAAGCACACTTTGCCCTTTAGTGTGATACTGACCATGTGATCAACGACCATGAACTCAAAGTTAACATTGATTAATTGTTAATTGCTTTTTAAACAGCACAAATCAAGCATTTGCACAGAAAAAAAAAAAAAAATTGAAAATCACTTTCTCTACCCCATTTTACAACATCTCTCTACTTTACGTATGACATAAATATGATTACTACGTTCTTCACTCATTGCTTTTTAATGGAGACATTATTTTTGCCTTTAGACCCTAAATTTCTTCCACTTCACACGAAGCTGGGGTCATTTGGTACTAGCAATCAGCCCATGGCCATTTAACAAAGTGTCTTGTGTGGAAAAGCTTTGTGTTCTTTCTCTTCCTTCATCTCAAGAGAGAGAATAAAGTGCCTGTGGAAAAGCTTTGTGCCCTTCTTCTCTTCCTTCCTCTCTGAGAGAGAGATGGAAACTATTCCATCCTTTCGTTTCTTCTTACTTCTCTTGTTCGGTCTCATCATCCTCTTCCTTGTACTGTATCCTCTAGAAAACTTCGAACTTCTCGACTGCTCTGTTTACAAGCCATGGTGCATCTCTAAGAACCGGATTCAGGCCAAATCAAATCTCTTCTCACAGACACCCAGAACCAAATCCATAGACCACTTAACTGAGAGCCCTCATCATCCACTAGATCCCCTCACCTTCCAAGAAATCAACCTCGTCCGTGCAATCCTCTCATCTTACCCGCCCTTCGCCTCCTCCTCCCCCTCCCCCTCGATCCATTATGTAGCGCTGGACGAGCCAGACAAGTCAATTGTGTTGAGATGGAAGAAAGGAGATCCTCTTCCTCCCAGGAAAGCCACCGTGGTTGCTCTTCTGAACGGCCAGTCTCACATCCTCACTGTCTGTCTGGAGTCCAACCAGGTCGCCGGACATGTGACCAACCCAGCCTCGGGCTACCCTTCACTGACCGTCGATGACATGGCTGGTGTCCTAAACGTAACGCTGGCGAACAGAGAAGTTGGAAGAATCATCACTGCTCGAGGTGTGGACTTATCCAATGTTGCCTGCATACCGCTTTCCACTGGCTGGTATGGAGCCAGTGAAGATGGGAGGAGGGTCCTCAAGGTACAGTGCTTCTCGAGCCATGGCACGGCCAATTTCTACATGAGACCAATCGAAGGGCTCACCGTGACGGTGGACGTTGACGCGAGAGAGATCATCCACATCTCCAACACCGGCCAGGGCATCCCAATCCCCCAGGCCGCCGGCACGGACTATCGATACCAGGCACAGAAGAAGAAGCCACTCCACCAGCAGCTCAATCCCATATCCATGGAGCAGCCCAGAGGGCCGAGCTTCAGCGTCGAAGATGGGCATATCATAAAGTGGGCCAACTGGGAGTTCCACCTGAAGGCCGACCAACGAGCCGGAGTCATAGTTTCACGAGCCATGGTTTGGGATTCCGACAGAGAGAGGCTGAGAAGTGTGATGTACAAAGGGTTCTCATCTGAGCTGTTTGTACCATACATGGATCCTAGCGATGGCTGGTACTTCAAGACTTACATGGATGCAGGCGAATACGGCATGGGCTTCACGGCAATGCCGCTGGTGCCGTTGAACGATTGTCCTCGTCAGTCTCACTACATGGACGGCGTGTTCGTTGGGCCTGATGGAAATCCCTATGTTCAATCCAACATGGTCTGTGTATTTGAGCGTTATTCTGGGGACATCGCCTGGCGGCACTCCGAGAGCCCCATCACCGGCATGGAGGTAAGACTTAAAGAGGGGAATCTTATAGCTGTAGATTATGCTGATGGCTGCGTTGCCACTTGCGTGGTCGCGGCCGGCGTCGGTGCATGGCCCGATGGCCTGATGGGCTAAAAAAAGCTTTCGAGCTTGAGCTTCGTAGGTCCTCCCGGGAGCAAAGGAATTCGAATTCCGTCCCCACAAAATCATCAAAATTCTTCAACTAAAAACATACGAATAAAAGAATTCATTCTGCGCCCCACAGCCGATCCCAGCCGTGTATTAGTAACATCTCCAAAAGGCAAAGTACGGAAGATATTCTCAATACACGCTGACATGTATGTTGGGCTTTTTTGAGGCGCAGATGTAAACTCGAATAAAAACGAGCTGGATCTGCTCCTCACATAGGGCGTTTCACACGCGCTTCGCACGCACATTCTACCATTCATGGGCAACATCTCCCGTACCTATAAGTTCTTTTTCACCGGAGATGTTCACAATGCACGGTGGATGTGCATGTGAGGCGCCGAAGTGTGAGGAGCAAATACCGTTCCAATAAAAACATCCAAGCTGCAAAAAGTATATGAATATGTTACGATGGTTTTGCGAGGACTAAACCAATAAATCACTTTAAATTAGGGATTAGCTCCTCACAAAATACAGAACATCTCCCATACTTATTAATGAATATTCACCGGAGATGTTTCCAATGCATGGTGGATGTGCATGTGAGGCACCTATTTATGAGGAGCAGATCCTATCACTTCAGTTTTAGGTTGGTGTGAAGAGCGTTCTATGAGGAGCAAATCTGTACTCAGCATTTAATTGAGTTTGGATTTGCTCTTCACTGAGTGCACTACACACATACCTCACAGCACCGTTCCAGCTGTGCATCTACAAGACTAGAACATTTTCAAAATTGTAAATTTTTATTCATAGGCTAAAACGTGCAGGTTGAGATTGGTGTGAGTCACATTTTGTGATAAACAGGCCCAATTTCACTTATACTATGGCAGTGTCAACTGTCAAGAGTAATAATTCTGCTTACTTCATTTTCCAACTTCTCTTTCAACTTGTCATGTGTAGGTTAACTTTTTAAAAATAATATAATAAAGGGCAAAAACATTGTTCATCTCCTTCTTCTTCTTATTTGTTCACCAGAGCCGTCGTCTGTGCTGCCCGCCACCACCGTCCGCTGCCGCCCACCTCCGCCTCTTTGCTGGAGGTGGCCGGAGGTAAAGGTGGTGGCAGTGGCACTGGTGATTTCTCTGTCTAACGCCACCACCTTCGCCCACCTCTGCCTCCGCCTCTGGCAACGTTGCCAAAGATGGGTGGAGACAGAGGTGGGAGCGGCGGCGGGCAAAGGAATGACCACCAGCACCACTGCCACCACCTCTGCCTCTGGACACCACGTTGTCAGAGGCGGAGGCGGAGGTGGACAAAGGCGCGGCGGGCGGCAACGACAGACGGCGGTTCTGATGAACAAATGGCAAGAATAAGAAGATGAATAGTATTTTTACTCTTTATTGGTATTATTTTTAAAAAGTTAACATATTTTTGAAATTATTTTAAATATATTACTTTTATTGATATTAAACTCTAAAAGTGACCTTTATATGCTAAAATCCATCAAATATCTGATTCCTATTTTTTTATGGTAGATGAGAAGCCTTGAATCTGTCTTTTTCAAAAAAGTTGTCATTTTCGAAAAAGCTGAAAAACAAAAAGAAAAAATTGAATGGTGGATGAGGTGGCTCTAACATCCACCTTGAGAAAGGGCCAATAAGTCCAAATTTGATACCAATGTAAGTGTGTAAACTGGGCTATTTGAACAAAGGTTCGACTATATGCCAAAAAGATATGATCATGGTTTCGAACTGCCGTTGACTCATACGGTGGGACTATTCGATTCGGAAACTGTTCACACAACTGGTTTCGTTTTATCCCAAATTCGATTTTTGACTAAAAATCGTTGAATTGATTAATGATTCGTTTATTTAGATGGTTGAACCGTTGACCCATTAACCCGTTCAATGGTTTTTGTATGTATGAGACCTACATGTTGTATGGGCTCATGTGCACAGAAGATTAACATATTTAATTGTGATTGGTCACATAACCAAGTTTATACACTTATTTGCAACAAAACCCATATTGGTTTGTGTTCGGGTCATGGCTGAGCTAGCCTTGCGAGACACGTGGCTGCCCAACTGTCGCCCTGCCACGTCGGCCTAGCCCAGCCACATCGGGCTAGCTCGGCAAAGCTACGTTATTACTACGGCACCCCATCTTATCCTTCCAGCCATGTCAACTATACGTCATATGGATGAGCACAACTACGGATAAAGAGGAATAAGGAGGACGACTCCGTTGGGGAATGTGACTCTATCCTGAATACCTCGGCGGCTAATCTCATCCCGACAACCCCGAAAGCCCAATTTGACTAGGACACAGATCTTCAACTACAAAAAGGTACTCCATGCTCGAGGTAAGGGATCCAACTTTTGAGACCTACACCGCTACTTAGCTCGAACCGGTATCCTTATAGCCCGGCCCGACCATCCTACCACCTTCTATTGGCTTGAGTGTTGGAGTTTTTACCCGAGGGTAATTCCTCGGGCCTTTGAATTCTTCCTTGATCGCAGATCTTGAAGCACGGCCTCGTCTTTGAAACTCGGCTCCGACCTGCCAGCGAGGACTATCTGATTGCCCTCCTCGGTTCGTGCACTACCTTGGATTGAGCAGCATCAGATTGAAGCCATTTGTGGGAATGACACAGAAAGACTTTCCCGAAAATCTCATTCCTCGCCACACAATTAAGGAAGTGATTAAGATGCCTAAAAACTAGTCTGAACGATCATCTGGCCATTCCCTGTCTCAGGAGAACCAAGACGTCCCACACCCTTCGACTGTAGTAGATCCAGTGCAATTCCGAGCCATGTAGAAAAGGTTGATAAGATCTTCGAATTCATGCAAACACTAGGGTCTGCCGCGCCACCTAACTGGGTTGTCCTCCCTCACGCCCTGACGCGCACAAAGGACGATCCTTGGACCGAGGACTCCAAAGCGTGCTTGTTAGACGTAAGGGGAGAGCGGTCCAAGCATAAGAGGAAAGACACGACTCGAAGGTCCGCTGCCACTGCCCATTCCCGAAGGACGGGACTACCATAACCAGACATACCAGTTAGCGTGCATCCCTGCCAAAGAAAGGCTCGGCAAAAGGACGCCGCCCTTCGTAGTCTCAATTGCCGAGTCAAGCTCAGTCAAGGATCACCCCACATGACCCAAAAGGGAGGCCATACACACTACAGCCCCAGACAATAGAGATGCCAAAATTAAAGAGCTCCGGCAACGCTTTGAAGAGTTAGAGCACACTTCCACCCATAAGAGTGCAAATCCCACCGTATACCAACTTGTGCAGGCCATCGCGCATATCACAAAGGAGACACCCTTCATCCAGGGCATAGTGGATGAGGTACTCCCTGTTGGATAGCGAGCCCCCCAATTCGACAAGTACGACAAGAACTCCGACCCATTCGACCATGTTGCAGCGCTCAAAGCCCAGATGATGCTACATGGTGCGTCAGAGGGACTAATGTGCAAAGCCCTTGTAACCACACTGCAAGGCCCAGCCTCGGCATGGTACTCCTCCCTGTTGCCGAGGTCTATAGCGTCATGGGCCCAACTGGAGACCCAAATCCTGGCACAGTTCACAGCTAGTTAGAAGCATTAGAAAACCTTGACCAGCCTTATGCAGGTCTGACAGAGAAAGGCGAAGTCCCTTAGAGACTACCTGGCGAGGTTCAACAAAGAAGCACTACAAGTTAGGGACTTAAATCAATCAGTCGCAGTGACGGCCATACAACATGGACTCCACCCTTCCCTATTCAACTTCTCCATCTCCAAGAATCCTCCTCAAACGTTGGCCGCGCTAATGAGCCACGCGTAGAAGTATATCAACACTGAAGAGGCCTAGGCGTAGATCAGAGACGAGGATGAGAAACCTGACAAAAATAGGAGAGAAAACGACGAGCGAAAGTCCGAGAGGTCAGACAAAGACCGCAAGAGGCAAGATCGCCGTACTGACCATAGACCTCGCACCCCTCCGCCGACCTATCGGAATTTCATGCCACATAATGTTCCGCGGTCTGAAGTTCTGATGCAAATCCGCGACTGCAACTATGTCAGGTGGCCGGAGAAGATGAAAACACAAAGTAACAAGAGAAGTTGCTCAACGGGTCGACGCCGTTACCGACCTGTGAAGCAGAAGAAGAGAAACTTCACCATAGAGCGGTGGCAAGTGATCGCTGAGGAAGTACAAAAGTTGCTCGACGCCGGATTCATTAGGGAATTCAAATACCCTGGTTGGTTGGCCAACGTAATGAGGGTGATGAAGGCCAATGGAAAGTGGAGAATCTGCATCGACTTCACTGATCTAAATAAGGCCTGTCCCAAAGACAACTTTCCCCTTCCATGGATCGGCCAGCTCGTCGATGCAACAACAGGACATGAGCTCCTAAGCTTCATGGACGCCTTCTCAAGTTACAACCAGATTTGGATGGACACAGATGACCAAGAGCGAACGACCTTTATCACTGATCACACCGTACTGCTACAAGGTAATGCCCTTTGGCCTCTAAAATGCCGGCACTACCTATTAGCGGCTGGTGAACGAGGTATTCAATGACCAGCTCGGTAGGAACGTGGAGGCATATGTCAACGATGTGCTCGTGAAGAGCAAAAAGACCGAACACCTCTTGGCCGACCTCTACGAAGTCTTTGACACACTTAGAAAGTACAAGATGAAGTTAAACCCAACCAAGTGTGTCTTTGTGGTTGGCTCCGTCAAGTTTCTGAGGTTTATGGTAACACAGAGAGGAATCAAAGCAAATTCGAAGAAGATAAAAGCCATTTTTGACAGGCCATCCCCTCAGATCCACAAAAAAGTGCAACAGCTCACCGGGAGAATAGCCATCCTTGGCAGGTTTATGTCCAAGTCCGCGGACTGATGCCTCCCCTTTTTGAAAGCACTTAAACGGTCAAAGAACTTCCATGGGACAAAAAGTGTGAGCAATCTTTCCAAGAACTAAAGCAGTACTTGAGCTCGCCGCCCCTCTTGACTAAGTCAAGTCCAGGAGACGAGCTATTGCTTTACCTTTTCGGTCGGGGATGAGGTCGTCAGCTTAGTATTGGTCAAGGAAGAGGAACAGAGACCGATCTACTACACCAGCAAGGTCCTTAATAGCATAGAGTCCCGGTACTCCAATCTCGAAAATTTGGCTCTAGCTCTCGTCACCGCAGCTAGAAAACTCAGACCATACTTCTAGCCCACAGCGTTCAAGTACTCACCAGCCAACCCCTCAAGCAGGTGCTACAGAGATCGGAAGTGTCGGGCATCCTAGTCAAGTGGAGCGTGGAGCTGAGTGAATTTTGACATCAAGTACGCGCTCCGACCGGCGATCAAAGCCCAGTTCTTGTTAGATTTCATCGCAGAATGCACATTTACAGTGGAGGAACCAGCCCCACTGCCCCCAGTATGGACCCTCCATGTTGATGGCTCGTTGAACCAGTAGGGTAGTGGCGCCGGCCTTATCCTCCTCAGCCCGAACGACATAGTGTTGGAACACACCCTCAGGTTCGAGTTCAAAGCGTCCAACAATGAGGCTGAGTATGAGGCCCTGATTGTGGGCTCCACCTTGCTTTAGACCTCAGGGCACAACGAATCGAGGCCTTCAGTGACTCTCAGCTCGTGGTCAACCAAATCCACGGCCACCGAGGCTCGGACTCCCTCTATGGTGAGCTACCTACAGAAGGTGCAGGAGCTAATTCAGCAGCTCAAGCACTTTGACATCCAGCAGATCCCTCGAGCCGAGTACGCTCGAGCCAACACCCTTTCAAAGCTCGCCAGCTTGCCGCAGACCGACCTTGATTCAACTGTCCAGATAGACACGCTGGCCATCCAAGCATCGCACCATCAGCCATCCTCATCCTTCTAGTGCAACATGGATCATCTTGGATGAATCCCATAATCAAGTATCTTCGAGAGGGCACCTCCCAGAGGAACGGGCAGAAGCAAGAAGACTCCAACACAGAGCAGTCAGGTATTGCCTGATACAGGGTCAACTCTACCGTCGTTCCCACACGCTTCCCTACTTGAGGTGCCTCCCCCCAGCTGAGGCAGACTACGTCCTTAGGAAAATACATGAGGGCATTTGTTGAGATCACCTTGGCACGCGCACACTTACCCATAAGGCGCTCCGACAACTCCGCTGGGGAATGAGACTCTGTACCGAATACCTCGATAGCTAACCTCATCCCGACAACCCCGGAAACCCAATCCGATTAGGACACGGATCTTCAACTATTAAAAGGTACTCCATGCTCGAGGTAAGGGATCCAATTTCTGAGACCTACACCGCTACTTAGCTCGGACCGGCATCCTTATAGCCCGGGCCGACCATCCTACCACCTCCTACTGGCTTGAGCATCGGAGTTCTTACCCGGGGGTAATTCCTTGGGCCTCTGACTTCTTCCTTAATTGCAGATCTTGGAACACGACCTCATCATTAAAGCTCTACCCCGACCTGCTAGCAAGGACTATCTGATTACCCTCCTCAATTCATGCATTACCTCAAATTGAGTAACATTAGTTTGGATCTATTATACAGCACATTGAAAACATTAGGCTGAGTTTGGAGAAGTACAAATGCAAATATGTAGAGTGCAAAACCGTATAATTTATATTATTTTGTATGTATTTAGGTTGTACATATTTGCATTTGTACTCTTTTCAAACGGAGCATTGGTGTTTTCTTGGCTGTGGGTAGCCCTTTATGGCCAATCATATGTATTCCCAAATTGTTCTGTGTACACGAGAAATATGTATTTTTTTTGTTTTTATTTTATTTTAAATATTATTATTTCTTCAAATTTTCAAATAAATATAATAATATAATATAAAAAGGTATTCTCATTTACAAAACAATGATTCAACAAGTGGCCCTCAAGTCAATTTTTGAACCGGTGGTAGGGAGACACATAATAAATCGAAACTGACCCAATAATTCAAATGTTTGAGATTTTGCCTCAAAAAAAATGTTCCTAGCAGTAAGAACTAAGAACATTTCATTATAAAGCTAACAAAGAAACAAGCCACACTCAAAACACAGACTAACAACACAACCCAGAAACCATAAACGCCACTAAATGTTTCGGACTTTGGTTTTGGACAGATTCGAGAATCCAGGCCGAAAGTGACTCTTGTGGTTAGAATGGCAGCATCCGTGGGAAACTACGATTACATTATAGATTGGGAGTTTCAAACTGACGGTCTCATTCGTATTAAGGTTCATCAAAACAAGAAACTTTTCTTCCATTTGGTTAAATTAATCAGTTAAAGCTTAATTTGCCTCATTTTCTAGTAATATACAATCTACATCAATCTACAAATAGGTTGCACTTAGTGGGATGTTGATGGTGAAAGCAACAGCCTACCAGAATCTTAATCAAGTGGCGGAGCAAGAATACATTGCCGGAACTTTGGTGTCAGAGAATTTGATCGGCGTAGTACACGACCACTACGTCACGTTCTACCTGGACATGGACATCGATGGTCCAGACAACTCTTTTGTGAAAATGAATCTCGTCAAGGAAGAGACTACACCTGGAGAATCGCCCAGGAAGAGTTATCTGAAGGTTAAGCGACATGTCTCGAAGACGGAGAAGGATGCTCAGATCAAGCTCAAGCTTTATGACCCATCGGAGTTCCATGTCGTCAATCCTTCCAGGCCATCTAGGGTTGGGAATCCAGTTGGGTACAAGATTGTTCCCGGCGGCACGGCTGCTAGCTTACTCGACCTCGATGATCCTCCCCAAAAACGAAGTGCATTCACAAATAATCAGGTATCTTACAAATCTTAAAATTCTCTGAGTATGTTTTAGTTCGTAGTCGGAGACTCGGAGTCAGAATTGAAATCCATTCGAATTGGAATCAGTTGGAATACACCATTTGATTAAGGGAAATAGGGTTCTGTAATCAGAATCGGATCCCAACTGTTTGGTTAAGTGGAATTGGAATCTGATCATTCTCATTCTTACTGAAATGACATTATGCTTTTCATTTGAGGGAATGGTCATTTTCTAATCCCTCTCCTTCCCTCGTGAATGAAATCTTATTCCAATTTATTTCATTTCTCATTATAATTCTTGTTTAAACCAAATAGACTATAGGAATTGATCATTCCAATTCCAATTCTGGTTCTAACTACAAACTAAAGAGACCTTCATTCCCAAGAGAGGGAGAGGGAATATTATCCCTTAAATGGGAGAATAAGGTCAATCCAGTAGAAATGGGAATGGAATTCAAATTCTGTCCAATCAAATGGTTAGAATCTAACCATTCTTATTCTAATTCGGATTCAAAACCCTTATTTCCGTGAATCAAACAGATTCAAACTTCATTTGGCGCTCTCTAAATGCTACAGTATTGGTTTGTTATGTTGATCAGATTTGGGTGACTCCATACAACAGGAGTGAGCAGTGGGCCAGCGGACTCCTTGCATATCAGAGCAAAGGGGACGACACACTTGCTGTTTGGTCTGCGAGGTACAAATACACAATTTACAGATCAATAAGCTTGAGCTACAAAGAGTAATGATCTTCAATGTTTTAAAAAATGACCTGAAACTGGAACTGTTCTGGTCACCGGTTTCTGTGTCGATGTTTCGACCATTCCAAATGGACGGCTCATTTTGACAAAAAAAAATAAATAAATAAAAATAGCCAAAAACCATTGAATAGATCAAATGGGTTGACATTTAACTGTCCGGATCAATGAATCGTTGACTGATTCGATGGTTTTTGGCCAAAGGCCGAGCTTGAGGTAAAACAAAATTGGTTGTTTGAACAGTTCCCGAACCAAACAGTCTGACTATCCAGATCAACAACGGTTTTAACACCATGATGATCTTTGTCAAAATATTTAATTATTAAAAAATAAAACTAAAATGAGACAATGATAATGCAGGAATCGTCCAATTGAAGACAGAGACATTGTAGTGTGGTACACTCTGGGCTTCCACCACATACCTTGCCAAGAGGACTTCCCCATCATGCCTACAGTTTCATCAAGCTTCGACCTGAAACCCGTCAATTTCTTCGAGAGGAATCCCATCCTCCAAGCCCAACCTAGGTTTCCCAAGGACCTACCAGTTTGTAGGGCTGCTGATTCAGCCTGATCAGCGCTTATTTCTCGAGTTCACATCTCCGCCCCACAAGGGGCCGCCCCATAACTCACAGTACATCTCTGTGGTGTATTGGAAACATTTTCTGATGATAGTATCAGAATTGATGATGTCATTATCGGAAAATATTCACAATACACGACGGAGATGTGCTGTGGGATGTTGTGGGACGGCCCCTTGTGGGGCTGAGATGTGAACTCCTATTTCTCTTCTTTTGTTTTGTTCTGTTTTGTATGTTTTTGGTTACATTTATCATGAAACCATGTTCTTTTTGTATATTTATATATGGGGTCTACAAAAAATTAAGAAAAATTTATTTTTCTCGATTTAGAGATATCATTCTTTCATGTGGATAAATAACTTTTCCACTTGAGGAGAAAGTAATCAACATTTGGATGGGACAAATTTTTTTTTGCTAAAAAATCATTGTCTTATTACCTTAGAAATAAAAGAACATGGGTAAATATACATATTGAAAAGCGAATGGAGTCCGAGTATCAATTTAGTGAATTTTCTCATATCTATGCCATAAATACCCCTAGCCTAAACTTAACTGAATTAAAATGCTGATGACCTTGTGTGTTTGGAAGTATGGTTGTTTATTTTTATAAATGCAGCACCAAGTAGGCATGCAGTTGATGATTTTTTTATTTAGTTGGGACATTTACTAAAAAACCATCTACTTTAACCCCCTCAATTTATGTAAATTGATGTTTTTTTTTCAATGGTATCACCATTTTTTACTTTTTTTTTTGTATGTTGTGTCTAATAGCACCTAAGTGGCTTGAATAGATAATAAAATATGTGCACATAAATCAATACTACTTTAAGAATTCATGAGACAAACATTTCTAGAAAAATTGGGTCATGGGTCAACCCAATGATTCGATTGCCAAATCTAATTGAGACTATTTATGTATTGTTAAAAGCTTTTACTCTTTAATATCCAGTATTTATTCCTTATTCTTTATTGTTTATTCTTTGAATTTTTGACTTTTCAAGTTTAGAATTGTAAAGATTAAATTTTGAAATTTTATTTATTTTTAGGGTTGATTTAAATCGTTCCATGGGTCAATTCTAACCAAACATTTAGGGTCAGGATCTATAATTTGCCAACCCTATGCATAACTCGGTTCAACCTGAAATCAACCCAAAAGTGCCATGACTGGACCCGAATCTGACCCACTCAAACCAACTGCCAAGTCTAACCCGTTGTCTTCATGAACTAAATAAAACACAAATACTACACGATCCTAATACTCCCTAAAATGTGAGAAAAACTATGTAAATATTGGAAACATAGGATGAAGAAGAACATAAATCTTCTCTACCCATTTTTTTCTTTTGGGTAAATTACAAAGACCCCCCTCGGGTGAGCGTTCTTAGTACTGATTGAAGGTCGGGGGTGATGATTCAATGCTGGAGAACTCTTCGTAAAGAGAGACCTATGTTGCGACATAGGGCCCCCAAACTTGTCCATTAGACAAAGACCACCTAATAATTAAGTTAGATAGTGAAATACGTTAAATTACCAAAATACCTATAAAAACATTTTATATTTTCTTAAAAAACTTTTTTTTTCCTCTTAAATCATCAATCCAATCGAATAATTCTTAAAACTATTTATGGGTGGTGGCCATCCATTACAAAAAGAAACCGCGCCCCCATCAATGACAAAACTCCCAAATACTTGGTTGCTGGAAAAATCAACAAAGAAATGCCTCAGAAATTACCATAAGTCAGCAGCAAACGACAATTGTGATGTGATGCTGCTCAGTGCGCAAATTGAGAAAAACAATCAGATACTTCTTGTCAACAGGGCGGAGCTGAGGTAGAAGGACTAAGCCGCACTTCAAGACCTGTGATCAAGAAAGATGTCAGAGGCCCGAGGAGTTATCCCCGAGTTGGTACTCCAACGCTCAAGTCAGTAGGAGGTAGCAGAAGGTTAGACCGAGCAAGGAGAGTGTTGGGTTGAGCAAAGAGAAAGTACGGGTGTCAAAAGTTGGAATACTTTACCATGAACATGTAATACCTTTTTATATTCGATGCTCCATTTCCTAGTTGGATTAGGCTTCTAGGGTTTTTGGGATGAGGTCAGTTGCTGAAGTATTCAGATAGAGTCCTAATCCTCGGCGGAATTGTCTTCCGTATTCCTCTTTATCCGTAGTTATGCTTATCTGCATGACATGTAGCTGACGTGACTGAGAAGATAAGATGGGGGGCCACAATAATAGTGTAGCGTGGCTTAGGCCGCGAAGTTGGCCAAGCTATGCTGACGTGGTCGGGTTGACCGGGCGATAACTGGTCGGCCACGTGTCTCTTTGGACCAGCTCAGCCATGGCCCAATCATCACTCCCCCAGTTCTGAAGTTGAGGCACAAAGTGTTCGGCCGAGGCTTAGCGCGACAAGATGCTTTGTTCCTCGGCTGAGGAACTCCAAGTTGAAGTCTAGTTGAGGGTCTAGTCCACTTGATGTTCCTCGCTAGCCAGAATTTGAGGTCCGCACAATGTGGGATGTGGCCAAGGAATCCTTCAACCGTCGGCTGCGGAACTCCAATAATTGTAACTTCGGTGGGGCATCGAAGTGTTGAGCTGAGCTTCGAGTTCTAGGTCTTCTTGAAGGTGCCGAGGAAGGTCTCTTCGTTCCTCAACTGAAATATTGCATGGTGCCGAGGAAGGGTTTTCTGATGCCCGATGATGCTACACCGAGGAGGGGGCCGAGCTTCGGTGTTAAGGCCTTTATGATGCTCGGTGATTATGTGCCAAGGAAGGTGCTGAGCATCGAAGTCGGGGGCCTCCGTGATGCTCGGTAATGACATGTCGAGGGAGGTGCCAAGCTACGAAGTCGGGGCCTCCGTTCTTTCGGTTGAGGAACTTGTTAACGAAATTTCGGAATCCCAACACCACTACCCCAATTCCGAAGTTGAAGAGTGGAGTTCCTGGTTAAGGTGTGGCGTGGCCTTCTTTGGTTGGCATCTGCTGCTTGGTGCCTTGAGGAGACCCAAGGAGTTAACTGGACCGGTGGTCCTAGGTGAACTCCGTGCATCTATGGCGTTGGTTGGACCAGTGCTAGAGGGGGAACCGAGGCAATTAGTTCCCTGACTGTTGCTTGTCAATATCATCGCTTCGGTTCCTGAGGCTATGTGAGTGCAGTGACAGTCGCGCCAATTGGTCTTCCTGAGCTTCGTTAGAGTGGCACTTGATCCCTATGATTGATCTAGCATCGATTCATGTTCCTAGGGGTTATAAGAAGGGGTGGATGGGCCTTTCTCCATTGTCATTTGCGAGAGGAGTTGCTTGGATTGCTCAGCGAGGTGTTGTTGGCGTTACTCGGCCTTGTCTCTTATTCCTTGGCTTCAAGTTCGATAAGATGTCTTCCTCATCTTCCCATTCTTCTTTTGCTTCTGGTTCTTCTTCGGGTTCTAGTGAATTTGACTATGAGTCGGAGGTTGGGGATTTCAAGACTGTCGAGGTTGGTCCTTATTGGGTAGAAGTAGAGCTTCCCTTGCAAGTTGGTCGTCAATTTGGGACCACACCCTGTGTCTTGTCTCTTGGGGATATGGTTCGGATCCGAGCTATGTACAACATCCCCGAGGAATTCCAGATGAGGTGCCCACAGCTTGACGAGATGGCAACATATGCTTAGCCCGACGAGATATACGTGTACGAGAACAATTTAGAAGTCGGGCTAAGGTTTCCTCTGAAAGAAGGGATCACCGGTGTGCTTGGATGGTACCGAGTATTGCCAGTGAAACTGATGCCGAACTCCTTTAGGTTTTTGTTTGCCCTTATGTCCTATTGTGCGGTTCGTGACATTGAGTTGACCCTGGGTATGGTGATCTTCCTCCTTCAACTTAAACCTCACCAATAGGACTATTATTACTTCTCGACTAGGAAGGAGACTTTCTTCTTTGTGCATTGTCTCATGGGCCTCCCCTTCCCGGCCGTGCTACAAGAGCCGAGGACGAGAGTGCCACAATGTCTATGGTTTGCACTGACATGGGAGGAGAGGTCAGCTCTGAGCATGATTCTTGAGATAAACGTAGCTACATACACATGCTCGAAGATGTTGATGATGCTCACCAGGTTGATGCGTAGGGTGGCTGGTCTGTCCTTTCTGTTGCTTCATTTACTTATATATTCTTTGCTTCTCTGATCTTGTACTCATTGTCATGTTTCCGTAGTGCAGGTGTAGAGATGGCGAGCGAGTGAGGAGATTATATGTCGGATGAGGGAGAATTGGCAGAGGTAGAACCGAGCTAGCCCGTAGCCGCAGGTCTGTCCCGAGGTAGTTCATCCTCCGAGGTCTTCTAAGAGGGCGTCCCGTCGCCAAAAAAGAGTTCGGCGACATGGAAATGATGATGAGGACGTCATTGTCGTGGATCTCAAGGAGGTTCGTCGGGCTGCCTTTTCTTCGAAGACTGAGGTAGGGGCAGCAGCTCGGACATCCACGTGCTACACTAGTCGGTTCGTAATCAGGACGAGCTAGAAATCCTTGGGGTTCCTGACCAGTTGGTTCATGGAATGATGACGGCCTACATATCTAAGGAGGTCGGGAATATTGGCAGCGGTGCCTTGGAATGCTCACTCATTCGGGCAGCGGCTCAGGTAAGCTCGTACTCACTCTTGTTGCTTTTAAGTAGATTCCTTCATGCTAAGGGTACTTCTGATGTTCACAGAACACGTGCTCGGCAATAACATTGGTTGACCGTCTTTGGCACTTGTGGGGAATGTACGAGATAGAGCACTCTGAGTACTAGCGACAAAAAGCTCAATTGGCTGATCTTCAGGCGACAGGGTAGCGGTCAACTGCGCTGGAGAAGGAAGTTGCTGAGCTAAAGGCCCAGTTGGCTGAACAGGCGAACTTAGTGCGTGACCGGAGGTAGGAGTTTGCTAAGCTGAAGGTGGAGAGGGAGCGGCTAAGGCAGGAGGCCGCCGAGGAGGTGGTAGATCGGTACAAGGCATCGTTTGAGCTCTGACAAATGATGGATCAATATGTCTCGGTTTCCTTTGAAGCTAGCTTCACCGTCTTCTGTAGGAGGGCTCTGCGTCACTGCTCGGAGCTGAGCGAGGTTGCACAGACTTGGGAGTTGTACGACTTGGACACTCCACCTGCTTCAGACAATCTTGTCGATGAGGAGGCCGATGAGGATGGTGAAGACGGTGAGGGTGGTGACGAGGCTGCTGATCCCCCCGTCGAGGATTGTGTAGCCGTGGGGTTCTTTATTTTTCCTGTTCTTGTAATGGCTTGGTATTCCGAACTTTCATCCACTGTACCGACTA